ATGTATTGTATTATGATAAATGTTTGCATTGCATGTTTTTATTTACCTGTATGGAGGAAGTGTAAGTATATTTGTAGTTGTGTTGAACTGTGTAATAAATGTAATGCTTTATATTTGTTGCAGTTGTTTTGGGGAAAAAGCACCTTAGCTTTCCCCCACAAAACAACTTATTAAAGGGGGAAGGTATGTGACGTGTGCCATGACGTCACCTGCCTGTCTTGGCTAAGGCTGGAGTTTCCTGGCCTATGGCAGGGCAGGAGGGGGGTCTAAAAGGGGGGGGGTTTGTGTATATAAGGGGGGTGTGCAAAGAGGGAAAGGTTGTTGGGGAATTAGAGAGTGGGAGAGGGACAGGGTTGGATATAGGTTAGGTACCTGAGTGTTAAGTAACTAAGAACTGTGCAGGGTGAAGGTCTGTAAATATAGTAATACAAGTGATTCCTTTTCTCAGTGATTTACATTTTATTTTTGTACCCAATAAAACATCATTTTTATTTTTAAATCCACAATAAGTCTGAGGTGTCAGGTTTATGTGTGGTTGGTGGCAGCGAAGTACTGTGTGTGTGTGAGAAGGATCGTGGCCTGTCATCTCTTGTGGTGACGTAGGAGGAGGTGGCAGTTGCGACACTGACATTTTTTTAAAATGGCTTTCAGTCAGATAGAGAAGATGTACTAAGGAGGCTTACAGGCACAGCATCTTCATGGCTTTTCAATAAAACCAGCTTTTCTTACCAAAAACAGGTGGATTCTAGATATTCACAGACCCACTTTGCTCCTTAGGTCCTTCTTCCAAAACAGACTTTATTCCCCTTCCTCATTGCAATTTTAATAAGATAACAAGAGCTTGTGGCTGAACCATTTGCTCAGGATCTCTTTCCACCATGAAGGATCACACAGTTTCGGAGACTAAATGTTTCACCTCAAATGTTTCAGGCTGGGATTTTCAAAAGTTCTCATCCTCTCCACTGCAAAATTGTGACCCCTATTTTGTCAAAGGGAAAAAGGAAGGCTGAGTTCTTGCAAACCCACTGTGTCCTTTGCACATGTACAGAGGCATGTCTTTACACTGATTATTTTTAAAAAGCTGCTTTCTGACAGGGAGAAACATGGACACAATACACACTAAGAGGTTCTGTGTCCTTGAGCTCATTCAACATCAGCTGCTCTTTAGAAAGAAAGGATTTTCGGTCCACGCTCAAAAATAAAAACAAGATAATGTGGTAGTTTAGACGAACAGATTCCAGTGGGGGCTTTCACAGATTATAAACAACTAAACCTGTCCCATATTCCCCTGCCAGGGAGGAACATGACTTTGAAGGGGTTCCTGCAAAACACAAACCACGGAGCGATGGTTGTTGTGGGTTTTTCGGGCTCTTTGGCCGTGTTCTGAAGGTTTTTCTTCCTAATGTTTCACCAGTCTCCGTGGCCAGCATCTTCAGAGGACAGGAGTTAGAACTCTGCTCTGGTGCAGTTTTTGTTTGGGAGTTTAGTATTTATAGGTGTTGGATCAGCTTTTGTCCTTTTCAGGAGATGAGCGATTATGGGGATCAGTGTTTTTTTTTTTGTGGGGGTATTGTTGTGATAAGGAGGAGAGATTATCTGTCACTGTGATTGATGGGTGTCATTAGCTGGTCTTTTGTGTGTAGTGATCACCGGTCCTTGTGGCTGGATAGTTTGTTGACCTTTTGCAGGCTGTATTTTTCAGTGCTGGGAGCCAAGCTTTGTTGAGTTTTAAACTTTCTTCTTTTTTGTTGAAGCACTGCTGGTGTTTGTGGATTTCAATGGCTTCCCTGTGCATGCGTGCTATACCATGTTTCCCCACAAATAAGACAGGGTCTTATATTAATTTTTGCTTCAAAAATGCATTAGGGCTTATTTTCAGGGGATGTTTTATTTTACAGTCATGTCATCTTCTTCTGGTTGCTGCACAATGGTGGAGAGTGGGGTTTAATTTAACTGGGGTTTATTTTAGGGGTAGAGCTTATATTACAAGCATCCTGAAAAATCATACTAGGGCTTATTTTCAGGTCAGGCCTTATTTTTGGGGAAACGGTAGGTTCGCCATCGCTGATATAGGGTTTGCTATAGTCCACATTTTACAGCATCCATGGTGGAAGTTGGATACAGGGGTTCTACTTTATTTTTAAAAAATAAAGAAACATTCAAAACCATTATTATTTACTTAAATTTTTACCCCACAAAGAGCTCACATCATTAAAAGACCATATTTAAAGCTAAAACCAGTAAGTATACAAATACTAAGAAGTTTTTTTAAAAAGGCAGACTAAACATAGATAGTACCAAAACATATTCAAAGCAACAAGGCACAACAGTCCATCTAAAACTCCCACTTAAAGCTGTTCTTTAAGGGAAATATTGCCTGGAGAATAAGGTCATTTGCCTGCTTGCGGGAAGGACAGCAACATTGAGGCCAACCTGGTCCCAGTGGCAGGGAGTTCCAGAGTCTGGGAGCAGCCACAGAGACGGTCCTCCCGAGTCCCCACGAAGCACACCTGTGAAGTTGGTAGGACTGAGAGAAGGGCCTCTCTTGAGAACATTCACACCCAAGGAGGCTTGTCCCAGGCTGTTTCGGACAGGCTTAAGTTAAAGTCAGTCCTTTAAATTGTACACAGAAAGGGAGAGGGGAGGGTGGCACACCGCTGCTTCCCCCGCCCCCACGTACATGTGAGAGCAATGCTAGAATTGACCTCTTCCTCCAAGGGCAGATTCCTGTCCTCTTTGACTTATCTTCCCTTTTGAAAAATAAAACTAGAATGCATAGCCATCAGATATATATGAAGAAAAACTGAACAGGAACCGCGGTGAGGCATGGAGGGGTGGAAAGTGACCCGCAGAAAAACACCCATAAGGAAATGTTGTCCAAAGTGCACAGATCAGCACATATGAATGCAGCCCTGGGGTCCCCTGTGAGCCAATGGTGCATTGGGGGACACCGAGCGAAACAGAGCAAAAAACAAAACAAAAACAAAAACCCAGAACCTGACAGTGATGTAAAAAAACACACCACCATTAACTGCTGGTGCTTGTGTCCGTCTTGTATTGTGGGGCTCCTAAGATGCCAGGAAAGCTGGCATTCAGTGTGGATGGGCTCTTGACCCATCTCAGCCTCGACAGTTTCATTCATAAGGAAGTCCAGCCTGAGGCAGGGGGGGAGGGGAAGACAATGACACACACACACACACACACACACACACACAGAGAGAGACACGTTTGATAACACACATATACACATTACAAGGAGAGAAAACTTGCTAAAATGCTCCTTCTCTAACTAGGTCATCATCACACTCTAACTTTGGTTTTAAAAAAGCTACTGCTGGAACAATAGGGGTGTAAATACAGGATGGGACAGAGATGACATTATTTCCATGAAAGCACATATAATTGTGTTTTCGACCAATTCCAGACATCCTGCCTTTGAAACCACCCCCTGCCTTTTTAAATTCTTCCCTGCACCCCATCCTTCCTCCAAAGACATCCTTCTTCACTTTTCCTACTTCTGCACTTTCCCCCTCCTTTTTTTGGGCACCTTGCCCTCCTCCGCCATGCCTTGTGAGGATCCGCCTCTTACCCCACGGAGAGGCCTCGTTTCTGTATGGACAGAATTGTAGTCTGGATGCTGACGGCGGAGTCTAGCGTGGGAACTGTCTGGAAAGTGTATCTAAAGGAGGGGGGGTTTGAGGGTTCCCCCCCATATCTGCAGGCCCTCCTAATTCTGCCCATTCTCTCTTTCCAGGCTCCTCCTCGCACTCCGTGCACTATTTCTGCACAGGAGTGTCTGAACCCAATCAGGGGCTTCCCAGGTACATCGCAGTGGGATACGTGGACGGCCAGCTCTTCAACCATTATGACAGCATCACCCGGAGAGTGCAGCCTCGAGCGCCCTGGATGGAGAAGATG